TATTAAAATTCTAATAAATAATTGAAGCTAAATCAAATCAATACCATTTTAATTTGTCATTGTTTAAATTTGCCATTTATAAAATAATAAATTATAATAAAATTTATAAATGAATTCAAATAACAAGATCGATTAGAGGTACTAATAAATAACTAATTGGGAGGAGTAAAATTTTGAAAAAGAATTTTATACTTTCAACAAATAAGGATATAATTATGAGAAGAAAATAATTTAAATCAAAATCACCTCAGATTAAAAAATCATATATTCACAAAATGGAGCAAACTTGAGATTGTACATTTTATTTAAAACTTAAAATATAGAGTAGAATGCCATAATAACTTAGAGTAACCAGAAATGTTTAATAATTTTGATCAAATCTGCAAACTTTCATGGTAAGGTTAGTAAGATATAAACAAAAAGAAAGATGGTAAATGGATTGCTTTTTGGAATGGAAAAAATCTAATTAATGTTGGCGGATATTATAAAGAAGGGTAAAAGCATGGATTATGGAAAGATCTATTCCTCAACTATTCATCGTAAGATATTAATATTTAGTATTACTGTTAGTCAAGCAAAAATATTTGAAACTGGAGAATATTATTATGATCTAAGGATTGGAAAATGGAATTATATGGATAATGATATGATGATGTAATTATTTTAAAAAATTGTTTAGTGGTGGTGGGTTTTACAATCAATTTGGTTAGAAGCAAGGCAAATGGATTGAGCTAGGCGAAGGATTTTATGCTAATGGTATCGTTAATTAGTTTGGAGAATATAATATGAATGGTATGAAGGTAGGTAGATGGGATATTATGTATTGTGGCTGGTATCGGGGTAAAAAAGATAAATATATGTAAATATTATTTGTTTATAAGAATATTTAATATATGTATAGTGGTGGTGGATCATATGATTAAGAAGGAAGAAAAATTGGAAAGTGGGTAGAATTGTTTGAAGGGTTTAATGATATTGCTTAAGTAACTTATAATGGTGAATATAATATGAATGGTATGAAGGTAGGAAGATGGGATATTATGTATTGTGAATCGGACTGGGAGGGATATGAATAAATGTAAATATAAGTTATTTAAAAGAATATTAAATATATGTATAGTGGTGGTGGATCATATGATTAAGAAGGAAATTAGTAAAAAATTGGAAAGTGGGTAGAATTAGATAAAGAATTTTATTTTAATGGTGAAGATTCCAAATAAGTCACTTATAATGGTGAATATAATATGAATGGTATGAAGGTAGGTAGATGGGATATTATGTATTGTGACAGGTATCGGTGGAAAAAATATGAATAAATGTAAATATTCCTTATTTATAAGAATATTCAATTTATGTATAGTGGTGGTGGATCATATGATTAAGAAGGAAAAAAGATTGGAAAGTGGGTTGAATTGGCTGAAAGATTTTGTTGTGCTAAATATTCAGAGAGTTAAGTCGTTTATAATGGTGAATATAATTCGAATGGTATGAAGGTTGGTAGATGGGATATGATGAATTTATAACATATACATCCTCTCATGTAATCATAATTCTAAAGTTAATAGTGGCTGCATAAATTTTGACGAAAATGGAAATGAGATTTATAGGAGTTAAAAGTATTTTGCATTATTATTTTACAGCGTAACTATAAATTTTATTGGATCATTCAAAAACTGTAGGAAGGTAGGGAGATGGGATTATATCTATCGTTCATATGGAGCGACTGAATATAAAACAATGTAAATATTATTTATTAATACAAATATTTAGTGGTGGTGGGTCATATGATGAAGAAGGAAACCAGAACAAGATTGGAAAGTGGGTGGAATTGGGTGAAAGGTTTTCTTGTCATAATGAAGTTACTTATAATGGTGAATATAATATGAAAGGTCAAAAAGTAGGTATTTGGGTAGAAATGAATATAAAGGAGAATATAAAAAGAGGAGAAAAGATATATAATTATTGATAGAATAAATAATGAGATATAAATAAAAATACATTTAACATTATTTTTACAATTATTATCAATTAAACCACTTGCTTTAACAATCTTGAATCTAATTATAAATAATCTTATTCATTTGTAATTTATTCAATTTCTCTAATAATACTTATACTTCTAACTAATTTTCACCTTCCTTTTATTCTCCTTCCATATATTCTGAAAGTTATTATCCCTTCGTCTTATCTCAATCTTTAATTCTTCATAATTATCTGCTTATTTTCTAAATACTACTTCTTATAATACATCTCCACTCTTTAATCTAAATCTCAATTCATATCATGTAAATCAATAATGAAATTTTATGCCTAATTTCAACATTGTGTCAAACTCTTTATTTTTTACTTCCTCATTTTCAAAATTAATCTAGATCAAATATCATTTTATAAATTCAATAGCCATTAAAGCTCCATTACACTAAATCCTAAATAATATTTCTTTTTTCCATTTTCTGTTTTTTTTCATGATGGAGTCATCACAGTTCTTGATATTTTATTCAATCATTTATTTGGTGTTATTAAAGTCATATTTTTATTAAACACACTATAAATAAATATATTCTCCTAATTAATTTTTATAAATTTCTATTTTCATTTTGAGTGAAAATTTTTTTCCAAATTCAAATATTTTTTTTGAAATTAAAAGTATATAATTTAAGCAAAATATGGAAAAGAAACCTCACCATAAAATTAGGTATACAATCAATTCAGCAAGTTATGGTGACCTATGGTTAATCCTACCAGCTACTAGTAAAATTCCAACCAGCATTATATTGACTGGTAATATATGGTGGATCCTTTCTAAAACTTAAATCGGGGCGTATATATTCATGAAGTGTTTATTTTGCTCACTCATATAAACTTTTACAATCAAAAGACTGCTTTAAATAAGGAAAATTTTATAAAAACCTTGAAAAAATAGCTTAAACTTAATTTTACCTGAACTAAATCCTATTGAACTATATTGGAATATATTCAAAAAGAAGTTATAAAAAATAGGTAACTTAAATATAAAGAATATAGACTAATATTTACACAGGATCTTGAGTTCAATTGACAAAAAACAAATAAAAGGACTTTGTGGATATAAAATTATATTTTAATAATCAGTTTAAAATCAATTACAACTATTTTTATTAATCACTTTTTAATATAGATATACTTTATTAATCAATTGAAATCAAGTTATATTTATGTTTTA